GAAATTCCCCTTCCACCTCCACAGTGGGATTTTTGTTTTATGTAATACTTCTAAACAAACAAACCAAAAAATACCCATGCATTATGAATCAAGGTATAAACACAGTCTTGCTCAGCCAGGATTTCCTCAGAAAACAGCCCTCAAAACCTCTCTCAATATATGTTTCACATATTCCATATGGTCTGGCCCAAGCAGCAGGCTCACTGATGCTGGAATGAGCATCACACACATAAGGAACAGAGCATTGTCTGGTTTCCCATTCTATAACTTCAGTGTTTTAACTGGATCATACTGGACCGGCAGGACTGTTTTGGTTTCAGCTGGGACATATTCAAAGTGAGTTAGCTGTGGGCAAAATTACTGATGGGAAAAATCTTGTCTAGCTACCACAGTACTGAAAAGCCAGCTGTGCTTGCACTGCAAAACTAACTGAAAACCAACTATGTAACAACAAACATAAAGGGGCACCGTGCATCTTGCAAAGGAACATTCACTTTCTCATGCAGTGCTAAAAGCTAAACCAACTTGTCAGTACAGAAAAGAAAGATTTTAACAGGAAAAAGTATCCCAGAAGGCTAAGTTCTTACTGCTCTTTGGACACTCAGAACTTGGGCCCCTGAACTGCAAAACAAGCCAAAAACAAATAGAAAAGTAACTTGTATAGGTAGGTAATAGGTGTATATCCAAGCATGCGTGTGTTTATATGGCTTCTATTAAACTGTCCCCTCCTTTCCCATCTGTCAAACCTACACTGCGTGTCTTCTAAAGCAGTAGCCTGGAAACTTGTAGACATGCTTATCTTTAATTACAAGATGAGTTCCCCAAGTGCTGATGGGAATATTCACATAGAAGGGAAGGAGGTTAAAGTGCAGACTTGTTACAGGCTCAGACTATTTTCCAGGCTGTGCTTGTGAAATAACTGAGCAGGAAGGATTAGAGAACTGGATGGGGTCCCAGCCTTCTTACAAGCAGGACAACAACTGTAAACATTTAAAAGGTCAGATCTGGGCGTAAATCCTCCATCACACCATTACAGACTGGGATAAATCCTCTGCTACAGTAACACGCTTTGTGGCGTCACATGGAACCTGACAAATGTGTGAGGCAAAAAGGGTTGGAGGTGTGATCCTGCTGAGTGCAATTGGTCCCTTTCCTTGCACTTAAAGCTTTCCTCTAACATTCCCAAAGCAACGTTGGGATCTGGGGACAAGGACAGGAAACGTTTTTCTCATCCTCAGGGAATTTTTGCAGAGCTGTCAATGACTGACTGACTGTTTCAGACAGGAAAAACAAAATGCAAAAGGCATGCTCGAGCTGAGCTTCAAATCACACTGCAGATTTGAGGGATTTTCCTTTGTGTTTCATGAGCCCATTTTTCAGCAGTCACCTAATTTTGCAGAATTCATACAAAAATACAGAAATAACTTATATGCCTAAGTAAAAGGCATTTCAATGTGAAAATAAAGAGTTATTTATGTAAAACTGACTGCAAGAGGCTAGTCTGATTGCAAGAGGCAATGTTGAAAGCTAAATCAAAGTTAATGGAAAAAACACAGTTTTTAGTTTTGCGTTTCTGTGGTTTGGAAATTGCTTGGGTTCTTTTTAATTCTTTTTAGTTAGACATTTCAATCTTGCAAAAAATTTCCGACTGTACTTGAATCCATACTCCATCTATCAGAAATGATTTAAGCCTTTATGAGCCTGCTTTTAAAAACGAATCTCTGAGCCACCTAACACACAAATTATACCCTGCAAAGTAACAAATGTGCTCGTCTCTCCCAGACATCAGCAGAAAAAGCGTGCAGTGCTTTCACATGATGCTTTGAGAGTTTGGTCTGTGCCATATGTCTGAAGCATACAGGACCTGAGGGTGCTGCACAATTTCAGATATGGGAATTAGCACTTTGCCCCTTTGGGCCATCTGTGCAATATATTATTTATGAAAGAAACCCCAACTCATTCAAAGCATGCAATGCATGTTCTGGCAGCTGAACTGCAGTTACTGACTGGGGGAAAAAATGTGAAGATAACGGGTCTGTGAGCAATCGTGGTGCTAAAGGATATTTTAATGAAAGGGGATAGAAAAAGGCATTTTTGTTGCAAATGCATACCAGGAGTGGAGCGGTTCACAATCCCACCACTGAGTGTTTCTCTCAGAGCTTTTCTAACGTCAAGCATGTTTGTATATTTTTCCCTCAGTTGGAATAACAGCTTCATCCAATGCAGTGGGCTAAACAGGGGAGAGTAGTCTCCACTGGCAAACAGCTGGCAGCCGCAGAAGAATCCCTGCCTGGCCCCATAAATGCCCTGCTTGTGTAACTAGTTGTGGCCAGATGCACACACAAACACTGCAGTCACCACTGAACCTCAGTGTGCCCGTCACTTTCCGTGCTCCTGGTTCTGTTCCCAGACACGTGCCCTGTCTGCTTGCTCCACTTTTATCCTCGGCTCTCCCCTGGGTCCCAAACGGCAGCAGCCTCGTTCCCTCCCCTTGCCATTCCCCTTGCGCCTCTCAACACAGTGGCTGCAGCTCGCCTTTTGACTCCCTTCACTGCACTCCGAATCCTCCACATCCCTCCCCGTGCCCTGAGCGTCTGACCAGAGAGATGCCTTCTCCTTGAGGCGCTGCCGGCATCCCCCACCAAAACCCACCGGGTGCAGAGGAGCGGGGATGCCGAGTCCCAGCCTCCCAGAGGACTCCTGATCCCAACATTGCCATAGCAACTGCTCCCACTGCTCCCTCGATAAGTAGCAGTGCTCGCGGAACCCAGCTCGGGACGTTGGAAGTCCAGACAACCCAACGCTGAATCGCAACCTGTCTGCCACCGCTCCGTGAGTACTGCAGCCTCCCTCCTGTCTCTGTCACCTCTTGCTTTGCTCTGTTCTTTTTTTCTTCTCTCTCCTCCAGCAAGGCAAATCTCATGTCACCCACCCCCATCCCATGGGAAGCTGGCTGGGGATGCTCCCATACGGGGTGATGCCATATTGGGGTTGAAACGTAGGGGATGGATTCTTGGGAAAGAAAGACATGAGAGAAAACAGCTTCAATTAACTTCTACACTGGGGTGGACACTTCAAGGAGCTGGTACTGCGACTCCCTATGCCACTGTAAAGCGTTGGCACGTGTGAGGGCTGGTTTGCACCATGAGGAAATAATTAAGGAAGTTTTTCATTAATTACTTTCTCAAAAGAGAAAAACTTTGCAGCAAGAACTTATGCAAAAGTAGCTTGTATGTTTTCAAAGTTTAACCGTTGGGATTGGTTTTCTACAAGTTTATGGGAGGTAGTGGGAGTCAGTCTTCAGGTTGATTTTGAACTAGAGCCCCTAGAAGTGCACAAAAACCAGCTTCCAGACAGTATAAGGGATCTCTGCATTCGTGCAATTATTAATAGCAAAGGTTTCAGTAGAGGGATACTCCAGCATCAGGCTTTCAAACAACAAATTTTTCCTAAGAAGTTTTAAGCATGTTTCAGAAAACAAACATCAAACTAATCTAACAAGAATGTCTGGAGAGAGCAGCCTAGCACTCAAATAATTGAAGGAGAAGTAGCATAAAGCTGTTCTCCATGCCCAGGAAGACATTGCCTCAATAGGATAACGTTAAAAATATAGCAAAACTTGTAACAGAAAGTTTGGAGCTCGAGGCAAGAACACCCAGACTTTCTATTTTTAGGGCATCTATTTTCTTTTCCAACAGCAGTAGATGAGTTGCCTTGTCTTGTTTACAAGATGTGCCTGGGAAGTAGTTGTAGAGGACCAGAGAATGGGTGCAGATAGAGAAGCCTGCAGAGAAGCCAAGGCTTTCTGCTGAGCACCAGCTGGAGGAGCCCAACACACACAGGCACAGCGCTGTTCCCTGTGCCCCTTGAGCTGCTTCAGATGAGCTCTGTGACTGGAAGGTGGGTGCAAGATGCCTAGACCAGATAAGGGTATCTCAGTCTCCCTTTACATACTTGTCAGTGATAAGGTGCCTACTGTAGGAGCCTACAGAGTACATGCAACAGAAGCACAGACAAGTCTTTTTTTCCCTCCTACTTAGGTTTACTGAAAGAAAAGAACTGGCGAGGGTGTTGGGAGCTTGACCATCCCTCCTTGCTCATGGGTACACTGAAACCAGACTGAGAAGGGCAAAGGAATGGAAAAAAAAAGATTCAAAACCTGTCTGGAGAGCATAAGGGTGTGCAGGAAGGGAAGAGATACTCTGGACTCAGAGGGAAACTCCAATGCCTGAGCAGCTGTTTGGGCAGTGTAGCAAAGAACAGATCTCAGAGCATTAATTGCTGCAGTCCAGCTTCTGGCTCGTACCTCACACTGTGAAATAGTCCCACTTGTTCCCATTTCCAACTGTTGGGTGCTAGCAAGGCCAGGCCCACGCAGGGTTGCAGACAAGCATGCATGCTTGCCATCTCACCCCAGGGCCCCCACTGTCTACACTTTTGCTGCTGAGCAGCTTCTTCTAGTAGCACTCTGGCCTCTGAAGCCAAGGCAAGGGGCTAATTCACCCCAGGCAGCCCAGGAACTCTGTTCTGGCTTTTCACTTCTCTCACAACAAATGCCATTAAAAGAAAAACGAGGAGTGAACCACTACTTCCCTCACCCTTCTGACAGGAGTACACAGCCTCACATTTTCGCTCACATTTGGCATACAGGTCTGGCTGCCACAAGAGCTGTACCATGTTGCTCATGGCAGAAATGTGCTCTGGGTCCAGGAAGAGACAGGTACCTCGTGTCATACAGGCTTAGGAACATTATCATCCACATATCAAAACAAATACCAATTACATTCAGATCAGATTGCCAACTGCCAACTAACAAAAGAATGCCCTTAAGAGTACTTTCATTTAGGTAGTATCCAAGTCAACATGACAAGGGTGTCTTTAATGATGAGGCGTGGCCTGCAAACTAGTGCATGCTTTTTCTTGGAGGTTTTTGCCAGTTGTGGAAACAAAACACTCTTCTGACCAAATAATAAATGAATATTAAAAATCTGCATACTTACAGACAGCAGTAGATGGTCTACTGAAGTCCTCAGAAGCAGAGTTTGTGGAGACTTTACAAAGGGCCAGTGCACAAATTCTATGGAAAATAATAAAAGGTAATTACTTGTATGCATAGCAAGTGATGTCCTTGATGGTGAAGAGTCCTGATATCTATGGCCAGTCAGCCCCTGTAAACTTAAGTAAGAACTGCAGGTCAGAAAACTCTCCATTTTATGGGTGATTACAGTCATCTACCGATGATTTCTTTGAGAACAGTATTGTATCTTGAGTTTAGATCCAAATCAACATGTTTATAATTTCCATGCAGCCTGGCATGCACTTCAGATAACTAGGAGCAGGCAAGCAATGCAGAACAACTTTAGTCTAAGCAAAGCCACTTCTGTACCAAGGTCAGGATCAAATGAGAAAAGTCCAGCTCTTCAGATTTATTCTCACAGCTTTTGTTTACTGTCTTATAAGGGAGACTTTTCTCATGAGATTTCATTTCAAGGTGGCTTGAATGTCACGTGATCAAAGGACCAAAAGAGATTTAAATTGTTTTGGTAGAACTCTGTTAGTCTATCTTTGCTGAGTTCTCATTAAGCTCCAGCCTGATCACTTGAGATAAATTGTTCATACATCAAACCAACTAAACACCAAAATAGTAAAAAAAAAAACAACCAAGAACCCTGGTCTCTTTGTCCATCTCTAGGCAAAATATTTATATTTAATGGAATCCTAGAATTAAATGCATTGGTGGACTGTTTGATGAAGCCCCATAATTTAGGGAAAGAAAGGAATCCTATAATTTGCATGTATGTGTGTGTACGTATGCTTTAAAACTATGCTAGTGAGTAATAGGAGCTCCTTTGTGTAGCCATACCAGGGCACTCTACAAAGACTTCTGAAAGAGTATATTAATTAATAAATTCAGAGTGTTTGCTGTAAGCTACTTAATAACAAAGGTGCAAATTAGGAAAAGAAAATTTCAGCCATTTTCCATGTGAATCTTCATCACTTACAAGAGTGCATGTTGGAGTCCTGTCAGTCATATCAGTCATATCAACGCTTTTCAGCTCGCCTTGTTATTCCTTGCTCTTTTCTGTAAGTTGAGCCCACCCTGTTTATTGCCAAATGCTTTTACAAGGAAAAAAGTTACACAGGAAAAACACAGCACTCTTTCTCAGCCTTGCATTTAAGGCATTTCTGCTCTGTCGTTTCCCAAAAGTAAGAGGCTAGAGGTGACTCCTTTGAGAGCACAATGCTCTGCAGGGTGGTGTTATAGCCTGGCTGTGCTGTACAGAAGGTAGTCTCAGGCTAAGTGACTATTGAATTCTAACTCATATGGAAAAATCTATATCCATTTTAGACAGTGTCTCCTGCTGAGTGTGATTTAGAGCTTCACTGCAAGCATTAAAGCTGCACCAAGGATGAATGTGGCTCATTATGTTGAGACATACAACCGAGTGCAAGAAAAAAAATCACAGTGCTCCATGCAAATGGCAGGCATTACCTACAAAGGTGACTGACTGCAGCAGACTGTTAGCATGAAGGCTGGTAGGAAAGGAGTTGCACTTAACACACTAAGATCCGAGAATGTGCTTCCATTTGTAAAGGCATACTAATGACTTCATGCAGTCACTGTAGAAGCCTTCCTTCCACATGAAACATTACAGGGGAATCTGTTTCTTCAGTGTCTGCAATTGATTTTAGTGGCTTGGGAAAGCACCATTACAATCCTCACATACATCACCTCCTTTTTTTGAATGAAAGGCCTTTGTGTAATGCACAGCAGCAGGAAATGGCATCACTCAACAATTCACACATTGTATGCAACATATATAGATCCAAGACACCAAATCTCACCATGCATTCTGGTCCTTCTTTTTGTGTTCTTTTTTAACAATGTGCAGTGTGGAAGCATATTTGTGAGCAAGGCAAAGTTTTCTGTGGGGCAAACTTCAAAACAAAAGGGGTCAGAAGTTAGCCTGAAAGGCGTGTTTTAAAGCACTACAGTTGCTGTAGGCTTGTCATCTGTGAAAATACAAAGACAGATCTAAAAGATTTGTTTTAAAACGTTATTTTTCTAACTATTAAATTAAGAAAAAATTAACAAGGAAGTCTTATACTTACATATAACAATCCCAGACGAAGTCTCTTTACAAACTTGATTTTCCTGAGGTGAAACAATGAAACAACTTAGAGAAATCAAATCAAAGTTAATTAGATTTTATAAGGTATGGCTAGCCAGTGTAAGTTATTACTAATCTTACAAGTAGATTTTACTATGTATCTCCACATTTCTTCACCCAAGACCTGTTATAAAAAGTCCACAATCTGAAATGTTATCCTTACTTTTACTGAAAACTTTCTAAATAGGACAACCTTCTGGAAAGAACATTACCAGCACAGTCATAATATTTAGCTAACAGCCAGCATAACTTAATCAAATCCCATAGAATCAAATGGCACTGAAGAAATAAACAGTTTCTCCATCAAATCACAAAGTGCAGTGTGACCTTTCCTATGGCCAGCTAATACGTGTTTATGTTTTAAATGAAACGTTGTCTGTTATGTCTTAAGCCTTAGCTACAGATTATTTTTACAGTCAACAAATAGAGCAACCATACCATGCTAAGATGCATTCAAAGATTTCTTTATGAAGTGTCTTCCTAAGTGAAAGCTGTTATTTATTTTTGTTAAAGGCCAACAAAGTTTCCAGGTGGTACAACCCCACAGTACAGACCTGATGCAGGACTGGATCAGATCTTCTGTGGTCAAACCCCTCGTCCAGGCTTTATTCAGTGGGGTATTTACGAATGCATCGAATTTTACAAATTTCTGTGAATTTTAAACACTGATGGGTATGGTAGTTAATTCCCTAAGTACATTATGAGTCAATGTTGCTGACATTTATTACTGTAATTTAATATTGCTGCATTTACTTTGAAGTCACTGCAGTTTAGGACATGTTTTTCCATTCCCTGAAGGACTAGCTCATTGCATGGTATGATTGCGACCTTCCATATTTTGTTTGGCAAATATTTACGTTACTAGATTTTGCTTGAGGTTTAATTGTTCTTAATATAGATGCAAGTTTTAGTCATAGAAATGAGGTTAACTGACCTAATGTTCATTTCTTGCTAACAAACAGCTGCAATTTTCAGAGAAGTATTATAGGTAATTTCTTGGCCTGCAGCAAGATCAAAATATACTCACACAGTGCAGTCTCCTGTTCTCTCATCCTGTCCTCCTCCTTCCTGTTTTTCTTGATTGCATTTTCTTTCACCTTTCGCTGTTATTTATCTTTTCTTCTTCACCTCCATCTACTTTCCTCCATTTTTTTCCCACTTCTTCTACTGTTGACGCAGTCTCCTGCTGATTCTCTGCCTTCACCGTTTTCCTGTTCCCTACAAGGAGGCCAGTGTGCTCTTATTCCCCCAAAACAGAGAACAGAGGTTGTGATCAGGAAACTACCACATCTGGTAACTTCAAAGCATCAAAGCTTCAAACCTTTGGGGAATGCTGGGGATTCTCAGGTAGGAAGTTGGACACCAGGGCCTTCTACACTTATACATAAGAGGGGATAAAAAGCCTTGAAGAACAAAATAGCAATCCAAAGAGTTCTATAGACCACGGGCACTTAAGCAACCTTATGACATGGGTCCTAGTGCTCCTACCAAGGCCACACGGATGCATTCCTAATGCTGGCTCCACAGCCTGCGGACACTGGCCGTCTTCCAGAGTCAGCTCTCACATCTGGGTCTTTGGGGGTATCCATAAATGGAATTACAAGAATTATCTCTTCATCATTCATAATTACAGTTAGATTGCATAGTAAACACCAATTATGACAATTAGTTTACAGTTGAGAACATGATGCAGAACAAAATCAGAAAATATTCTATTTCCTAGCACTTATTTCCTGTATGTGATAGCACTTTCTGGATGATTAAGGTCCATATTCTTCTGCAGAGCCAACATATTTTCATAACCAATGTAGGCGGAAAAATGGGATCACACATGTAACAAAGACTGTGAACATAAGCATCTCTTAGCACGCTTGGGCAAAATCAGGTCAGCAGACTGTATGACAGAAAGCAGCTGGAAGACAAGAGCTTCCCTCAGTCTGGCTTGCAAGTGGATACATAACACCAACATGTCTGTTTTATGTCATGCTGCTGCTTTTCATTCTCCCTTTTTTTTTTTTTTTTTTTTGGTGCTGTAGTTTCAAGGGGGAGAAAAAACCCATTTCAATGATGTCAACAGAATGTGTTCAGCCACTTGATATCCCAGAAGACAGACTGGACAAGCGAGATTCACACTGCAACCATTTAGGTAAGTGTTATTAGATGATGTCACTGCAGAAATTGGAGAGGTGTTTCTACACATCATTAGGCCCTGTCCAGTTGCTGTTTTTCCCCTCCAGCAGTACAACCGAGCCCTCGTGAAACCCGATAGATTACACCTTCTGCTGACATTTCTGATGCCAGATGGAAAGGCAAAGAGTGGTTTTCTTTCTTGCATATAAATATTAGCTGAAGCTCTAGAACAAAGTTCATTAATGAGGAAAAATGAAAAAGCCATTGTTCTTTTCTGTGGTAGAAAAAAAATTGAGCACTTTCTTCATTTGTACAACAATAAACTGAAGCCATATAACTGGATCTTTCCTGAATAGGCATTCTACATGCTATTTAAGTAACAGATTCTAAATACCTGCCTTTTTCTCTAACGGAGTGGGCTGAGCACTTTTTTCTTCTTTGTTTTCAATTGTTTCCTCTCTGAACCTATTTCGTACGTTAACTTTTGCACTGACAGTACCAGAGATTTTTTTGCTCCACCATACACCTATGTACCAGACTTCACACTTGATAGATGTGCATTTTGTATATTCATGATCTTCGCCTCAGTTTCAAGTGCTATTGCTTCAGAGTAGCCTGGTAAAATCATAAAGATACAGAAGCCCAGAAACCAAAAAACATTTGCTCACTTTTTAGCTTTGCAATAACAATAAGAAAACAATACAATTTCAGGTGTTTGACCAAAAAAAAGTGTTAGGCCAGCAAATTTTATAAACTTTCTTGTTCTCCCCTGCATGGAAGGTATCCTTGCCCTGTCTCTCTGCCACAACACTTCTAGCCAAAGGCACCACTTCTGCAATTGCTGGCGTACTCAACACAATTGCTCCACAACATTTTTCATTTAAGTAAATACAGAACTAGTTCCTGTCCACAGATGGGAAACAGAGGCAGGAGGAGGTTAAACGAGTTCATTAATACCATTCAGGAAGCCTTAGAGGGCTGAAAAAAATGATCTGTGTCTTCCAGGATGGTTAATCAGGAGATTGTCCACAGGGCTGGGAGACTGCTGAAGCCAAGCAAGAAACATCTGAGAAATCAAAGCTTTGGTTTGCATGACGATGCTAATGACAGGCTAGACTTAACTTTTTCAGCTCGCACGAGCACCCAGGAATGCAGATCCTTGCAGAAAAATCACGCCCACCATCTGAGTCACTTAAGTCAAGCCTCATTTTAAGAGAAAACCAAAAATCAGTGTAATGTTATGTAAATCAAAAGTGAATACCGACAGCCCCGGGGCTCCGGAAACAAAGCCAGCTCCTGAAGGGAACAATATGCCGGCTTTGTTCGCTAGTACCTCCGACTGACCTCACACAGGTAAAGCTCTCCCTCACAAAAGCGCCCTGTCACTGTGGTAGAAACAGCCCCACACTGCGGGCTGAGCGGGAAAACGACGGCGCTGCTTTCCTCAGCCACGCAGCGCGCCGCGGCCCACAGCTTCACCGCCGCTTTACGCCGGCCACCTACAAGGTAGAAGGCCCGCCAGGCACTCAGTGGTCCGTACGCGCAGTACGGCACAGAGGCCTCTTGTCTGACTTCCTATTTAGGATTTCTTTCTCCACAGTCACTTCAGTCTTCTTGGATGAAAGCCGCATTATTCAAGCTTTTCTTTTCACCATCTGTTTTATTATTTCCCCTCTGCTTCACTCTCTCTTTTCTTTTTTTCTTTTTTTTCTGCAGAAGATCTTTCAGAACAGCTGATTAAGAGCTGTGATCTCAAGAAGAAACCAAGAAAAGGTAAAACTATCCAGCCTTCCCAAAACACTGAACAGGAGCAAAAAAAGCCAAGGAGAAAAGACACACCAGCTATACACACCCCACCACCCCTAACAGGTAAGCGGTACATCGCTTTGAAATCTCACTATGCAAGAGTGGGCTGAAGCTGGGCAAAGCTCCACAGACATACTTACATCGCTGTGGAAGCAGACGGGAACACAGCTTCACGCCACGTGCTCCCAGGAAGGCAGTGAAATGGGGAGGATCCAGCTTGTGCTCTGAAGCTCCTCCTGCCCAGGGAGGACCTGTGGGAGGAAGCTGGAGAGGCACGCGGCCTGCTCTTCCTGGAAAGCACGGAGTGCCTGTGCATGCAGGGATTCTGGTAAGGGCTCGGTGTTTAGAAAAGCCAGAAAGCACCGCAGTGTCAAAGGAACTCCTTGTGTGATGCCCTGTGCTGCTGTACATTGACATACCTCTGCAGGTCAAGAGCTGAATGCCACCAGCCTGGGGAAAGGAAGAGTGTGGAGCAGAGTGGCCCTGAAACCAAGTGGTTTTTCAAGATCAGCAGGAGGAATGAATGATTATCTCGTTCCTCTGCTAACAAACACTCCTTGTATGCTCCCTGGGGACTGAGTTGTGCTCTTGTATCAAGTGCACTGACTTCTTCTCATGCTACACACATAGGAGTTAACCACTAACCATCTGTGTGGTCTCCTGTGTGCCTCCAACAGTTCACACTTACAGAGTGAAAAGCAAGCATTGGGGTGTTTCAGTATTTGTAACTCCTTGCCCCTGGCTCTTCAGCTTTCACGTGTATCTGCCTTTCAGTAGTTCTCTCTTATGAAATGGCTCAGATCTGGAAAGCTGCATTTTGTACCCCAAGTATGAAGAATTATAGCATTTCACTAGCTTAAATAGGCAATTTCTGAGTAGCCATATAGCCCATGAGAAGAAGATTAAACATCCATACGATTAAACCGCTTTGATAATACATCTGAGTTTCTGGAAATAGAAGATCCCACTCATCTTCACCACGATTATTGATGGGCTACAGTTTGGCCCATGGCATAGAGCCAGAAACCAACTAGCCTCAGACCACTGCTGTATATACTCTATAGGATGTAATTGACTTGAGGGAAATGTGCACTGTTGCAAAGCCAGAAAAGAATGTACACGATGCTGAGCAGATTATGCACTCATTGGGAAAGTGCATAGTAGTATTAGTAGTCATTGGGAAAGCCATACAGGTGCAGATTTCTTCAGTGTAAACAAATCTGAAGTGACATTTTCTTTAATTCTTGCCTGCAGGCATACTTTCAGACTTTTCTGATAATCTGCTGAAAAGGTATGGTATCTCAGAGAAGCCACAGAGAGAGAGAGTGAGTCAGGGCTCTCAGATCACCGAACTGGAGCAGAAAAAGCCCAGGAGAAAAGATACACCTGCAATACACATCCCTCCTTTGATAATAGGTAAGAAACTTAGCTGAAGTTGCTTCATGGCTGGATGGAAATTGTTCTGCCCAGTGTATTCAGCAGTGTTTGCTGAACTGGACCTATATGGTCAAAATACCCAATATTTTGTGTGGTGGTTCATTGAAAGACTTTTCTGTACCCACTACTCATGCTAGGTAGACCTGAAGGGGGAGTGAGAGGAGACCTGATATCACTTGAGTATCTCATGTAAAGGCTATCTTGTTTTTTGTGAAAATCCAACCAATCCTCCTTTTCAAAGTAGAGCACACACAAATTTTAAGGTCATGTTACTCACATTGCCTCAAATATCCTGGAGCAAAGCTGTTCTGATGAACTCCCTGTTAATTTGAATCTACACTGAGGAAACCAAGCTGTGAACATGTAGTTAACTGCACCTTAAAGACAGTTCTGTGCTTCTGGCACAATACGCAGTGCAGCAGCTAATTTGTTCAATGAGCATATGGATTCAGCCATCCATGTTTTGGCCCGAAGACCCTTTGTTTGTTGAGTTTCCCATGTTTTTCTATCACAGAGAAGCCTCAGTGCATCAATGTTTCTGAAGGTCTCTCAATATGTAAAGCACTTTGGAAGCGTTAATTACTGCTACTAACCATGGGTGCAAGAAACATGCACGTTTGTATGCTATGCACCAGCTGTTTCTTAACCACAGGATGGAGCAAAAGAATGAATGAATGAACAAATGAAGAAAAAAAGCAAACAAACTAGCCTCAGTTTCAAAACAAGTGCTAAAACTTGAAAACTTTGGTTCCCTCAGGAAACTCTTGTATGAAACAAGGTCTGCTGTGGGTTGGCACTACTGCAACAGTGAGATATACTAGCTAGCTGAAGAGATCCTGAGACAGCTATTTTGGCCCTGAGTGACTAAGCAACAGCTGA